TTGAAAATTAAAGCCAGATATTTGAATGTTGGTTCCATTACTGAAGGCCTGAATGATATTTTTCCTCTCGCGATTGCTTAGATGGGAAGACACAATACAATTTTAACCCGTTCTCTTCCGAGCTGAATAACTCAAAGGATATTTCAGTGACTATAACAACAAATGTTATCAAGGCGGCTCAACGACTTATCTGAAAATATGACAAAAAGAAACTCAATTAGTTTAGTGTCTTTTTTAGATTTTAACATTTTGTGGTATGAGCAATTAATCTGCTAAAAAAGATTTGGATTTTCATCCATTTGTTACACCCCGTATACATACATAATACACACACACACACACACACACACACACATATATATATATATATATATATATATATATATATATATATATGGACTGATGATTGCGTTTAGCATGAAATTTTTTGCCGCCTCTGGATGTTGACTTCAATGTGATAAATATTTTATATTTATATCTATTTTAATTTATTTATATTAGAGAGAGAGAGTAAGATTTGAGAGAGAGAGAGAGAGAGAGAAAGTATTGTCAATGTTAGGGCAGCAGATCATTATTTAAATATATTTTGTTAAAATTTTAAACAACAACGAATTTCTATTATGTTTGATCATGAGCCGTTCTCCTTAATTATAGTGGCTTTAGTTTCGGGGAGAGAATAAAGACGAAACTGGCCAACATTTGGATATTTTTTTATTTATTGTTTTTATCTAATTTTTCGGCTCACATTACTTTAAAAATTATGGACATTACATCAAATATGACATCCTGTTATGTCAAAAAATTACATGTCAAACCAGTCACAACATATTGCAATGTATTAAAACACATGGTTCCGTTGATAACATTTCTTTCTCTCACGTGGTCATGTACGACGTCATAGAAATGCATTTCTTAGAGAATTTTGACCTGCGTCTGCTGTAAACAAACCGTTATCGTTGAATAGCAAACTTCTATTTAAACATAACAGGATTTAATTTTAATTTTTATCTGTCTGGTAAGTCCATCTTTTCCCAGCACGTCAATTACAGGAGATGTTTATGTTGGGGACTTTCTTTTCGAACATATCAATTGACCTGAAACATCTTAAGGATGTTTGATGCTACTAATAAGAAGATTTTTGTGGTTCATGCATGATGGGGCTCAAGCACATTTTAGTCACATTGAATGATGAAGATGGTAGAGGAGGACTGCTTTTATTCAAAATTTAACGTTAAATATTAAACTTATTCCTTTTTTTTTATCTGTGAGAATTCCTATAGCACTTGGTTTATGCAAAGATATTAATAAAAATGAGATGTTTCATTTTGTCATTTTTTTATTTAAAGAAAACCATTCGACATCATATGGGAGTATTTGAAAGGGTCCACCAGTCAATTATCCGACGGGGGCGCAGACGTGTGTAGAAGCAAGCGGGAAACATTTTGAACATTTGTTATGAGTTGCTGTGTTGAGGTCCAGCGATAACCTTTTGGACATATGTTTATAGGGACATTTTAACCTGTTTCGCTCATTCAAAACCCATTTGCCCGAAATTTTAGTAAAAGTATTTGTTAATACACAAATATATATATATATATATATATATATATATATATATATATATATATATATCAGGTCATCCCATAAGTTCTGTCCGAATTTTGAATAAATAAAAACAAGTGACCAAATGTTACATTTAATTACAGATTCAATCAACAATGTATTTTCCCTGATTATCTATGACTTCCTTCCATCTATTAACAAGCTTACTAATTCCATTACTGTAAAATTCTTTTGGCTTTGATTCGAAGAACTCACAAATGTCAGTTTTAACCTCTTCCTGTGTTACAAAAGCTGTTTCTTCCAAATGATTCTGTAAGCTACGAAACAAATGGTAGTCTGAAGGAGCAAGATCAGGAGAATAAGGTGGATGAGGAATTTTCTCCCAACCAAGTTCTTCGATCTTTTGTGACGTGATTCTTGCTGTGTGGGGTCGCGCATTGTCCTGATGAAACATCACCTCTTTTCGATTCACTAGAGCAGGTCTTTTTTTCCTCAAAGCTTGGTTCAAACGCTCTAATTGCTGACAGTATATTTGAGCATTAATTGTTGCATTAGGTGGTAAGAATTCAAAGTGGATTATTCCTTGGCGATCCCACCAGATTGAAAGAAGAACCTTTTCCCCATGAAGTTCCCTTCTCGCCTGTGGTTGGGGTCCTTCCCCTTTACCAAGCCACTGTCTACGATGCTTAACATTTCGATAAAAGATCCATTTTTCGTCGCCAGTCACAAATCTATCCAAAAAAGGTGAAACAAGTTGGCGAGAATGGAGAAAAGAGCAGATGTCAACTCGGGATTTGAGGTTGTTTTCAGACAATTCATGAGGCACCCATTTTCCAAGTTTAGGAACTTTTCCAAGTTGTTAAAGATGACGATGAACAGTTGTATGGTTTGAACTGAGAACCACTGCCAATTCCTCAACTGATAAAGCAGGATTTTCTCCAAGGGCTGCTTCAAGTAGCTTTTCATCAAACTCAACTGGACGTCCGGTTCGATCTTCATCTTCAAGGGGGAAATCTCCACCTCTGAATTTTGCAAACCATCTTCTGCAAGTTCTTTCATTCACATTCCTCTCCATAAACTGAGTGAATGTTTCTAGCCGCTTCGGCTGCTGAGTTTCCTTACTTATAAAGCATTATGTGCCTCAAATGATTCTTGGGTACTTCCATGTTAGCAGGGTTTTAATCAAACAAAATTTAATTTTATTGTTCTCTGAAATAACATTTTATCAGTTTAAACGCATCTAAACATAAAAATAATGTTCAGCTCCATTAGACATTATAAAATACTCTTTAAATTTCGTTCATTTTAACAAAAAGTTAAAATTCGGACAGAACTTATGGGATGACCTGATATATATATATATATATATTTATATAGATAGATATAGATATATTCAAGCATTTTTGGTTGAATAATCTACACATATTATGTCTATTTATTTTTATTTTAATCCTCTCAAATGTACGGATCAATTTCTTAGTGTTGTTATTTGGAAAATAAAGAAAATGACCAAAACTACGGCGTCTTTCATACTCAGTTTTGTGACAACACTAAGAAACTGTTCCGTGAATTTGAGTGGATTAAAACAGAATAAACGTAATATGTCCAGATTATTCAACTGAACACACACACACACACACACACACACACACACACACACACATATATATATATATATATATATATATATGAGAGAGAAAAACATATTGCTATGTGTTAACGGAAGAAAAACGTGAAGATGGCAAAACTACTAGGAAGCCGATGAAATTAAGATATATAAAGAGATATAATAAGAGAGAGATAGAGAGAGATAGAGAGAGAGAGAGAGAGAAAGAGAGAGAGAGAGAGAGAAAGAAAGAAAGAGATAAATAAACTGATAGATAAATAGATAGATAGACAGACATAACTTTTGTGAATTAAAAGGAAATGAAATAGAAATCATGGTATATAAAAGACAAAATAAAAAACAAAAGGATTTTTTTAAAATCAATTCTCCGCAAACAAGGTGATAATTCCACTAAGACTCAAGAGACTACTGGGGCTCAAGAAACAATGAAAAGACTTTAGAAGGAACGGAAACCCAATCCTAAACAGGAAACAATAGATAAACCGCAAATTTTGTTCAAAAGACAGAAGAGGAGCGTGAACCGGACTATAGGCAAATTTATATTGAAGTCAAAACGAAAGAAAGGCAGAAGAATGTATTGGATGAAATAGAAAGAGAGGAAACATGTGACAACGTGAAAGAAGAAGAGAAAAATGAAAAAAAAAATAACTTAAACGAAAAAAAAAACGAAAAGAATAAAAAAAACGAAATTAAAAACAGAGAAAAATGTTTGCTCAGAATAACTCTCCCTTTTCCTCTAATACACACACACACACACACGCACACATATATACGTACACATACATACATATATATATATATATATATATACAGCGAAAGAGAGAGAGAGAGAGAGAGAGAGAGAGAGAGAGAGTAAAAATTACTATTATATTCTTCATTCAATATAAGCGGACGTTATAGAATTGATTCCTTGCCAAAGGCAACCAAAGGCGAAGTCAAAAGGTGTGGGACAGGAGGCAAGTGGAAGTTGGGGATCAGTTAACAATAAAGGCACGGGTTGTATCGAGGACAGCCCTTTACTTGTCAATCAAATTCTTTGCGTTTAAAAAAAAACAAATCAGCGCATGCGTGCGTACGCACACACGCATGCGTTGTTATGTCGATTTTATGAGTGGTGTTCTTTGGATAGACTAATATACAATAGTGTATTTAAGTAATCTTTTTTTTTTGTTGTACGGAATTTTATTTTGTATTCTTAAAGAATTTTGATTGGTTTAAATGCTCCCATATATGGAAGAATGAAGCGAGGTAGTAGTATTTCAAAGCCTGTGATCTAACGACCCCAATTTAATAATAGTAAAGACGGGGAGCGACAAAGAGAGTGAGAGAATGAGGGGGATAGAAAGAGAGAGGAGCATAGACAAAAGAGGAAGAGAGGAGAGAGGATAGAGAAGTAGGGAGAGAAAAAGAGAGAGAGAGAGAGAGGGAGATAGAAAGAGAGAAGCGTAGTGAAATAGAGAGAGAAAGAGAAGGAAGAGAAAAAGTGAGTAAAGACAGATAGCGATGGAAGAGAGAGGAGAGCGGAGAGAGAAATACAGAGAGAAGGGAGAAATAGTGAGAGGAGTAGAGAGAGTAGGGAGAGATAAAAGAGAGAGAGTGTGTGTGTGTGTGTGTGTTTGTGTGTGTGAGAGAGAGAGTGTGTGTGTATGTGTGTGTGTGTGTGAGAGAGAGAGAGAGAGAGAGAGAGAGAGAGAGAGAGAGAGAGAGAGAGGAGTGAAGCAATGCTTAGTCTGACTCAAGATCGAAATAATTATATATTTTTCACCGCTGGTTGAGGTCGGTGTTCAAGCCAGTGTAAAGACAAAGAAAAATGCTTTTCAAGGCAAAACATACTCCCTACCATCCAGTTTATTCACAACCTCAAGTTAAATTTAAAAGCAAGAAAGCAAGATAAACTACTGCTTATTTTCATGGTCGGCGAAACTGCTTTATGGCGGAATACAATCTTCCAAACCTTATTTACTCTCGTTTAGTTTATTTGCTTCACTAGGTAATAAGAAATGAGAAACTGTCATTATAAACAAAGAAAAGAAGGATGAGCCACTAATTCATATCTATCCTTCTTTAGAGATGAAGAAGCGACTTGAAACGACGGAGACGTTGTCCCACAGAAGGATGCTGAGGATACCATGGACAGAACACATGAGCAACAAGGAGGCTTTGAAGAAAATGGAAGTTGGATATTTTGGGAGCCATTATCAGAAAAGTCGGCTTCGAAAATTTAAAAGACACGGAACTCATTGGATTAAAAGATGGCGGAGATAAACAGAGATTAACTTGCCTAATGATTATGCGTGAATGAGTGGAAAAAACAGGGACAAAGATAGAGGGTAATTAGTCATACGTTGTTTACAGTTACAAGTGATAAAGAAGATGTGGAGAACCATGGTCGCGCAGGTCCAGAATCACCACGGCACATAAATAATAATGAAGCTTAGTAAATACCATAACATTTCAAATGTTTATTTTTAAGGCAGACTGACAAGGGTAAAATTCTGTGTATAAAATCGAGGTGAATAAAGTAAAGGCTAGAGAGAAAGAACTTCTAATTAAAAAAACTAAAATAAAAACACAAGATTACCCCCACCAAAAAAAAAAAAAAAAAAAAGCAAAGAAAAAAGCCACACAAGTTAATAATATATCGTATTTTAAAAATTCGATATATTTGGTACGTTTATAATATTGAGGTCTAACATTTCTCTTTTTTTTTTAAATTGGGCGTAATTTTCGAAATTGTAGGAAAAGAATTTGGATCCGTAATATTTGTTTTGTTTATCTTTGAGCATTGGTTCAGTATCGTCGATTTATTTCCCTATCACTTATTATTCAAACATTTTTAACAACATTTGACGATAACTTTATTCTTTTATACTTTTTTTTTATTTATTTACTTAGTAACGTAACATTTGTTATGGACGAGGACGTATTTGCAAATTTGTAGGAAAAGCGTTTCGAGTCGTTTTGTTTATTTTTATTTATTCTTTTTAGTATTGGTTCAGATCAGAATAGTCAATTTCCTCCTCTATTATTTATCGTTCCAATATTTCTAACCACAACAATAATAAAAAATATTCTCATATATTTGATGATAATTTATACTTTTCTTATTTTCTTATTTATTGTTTAATTTCTAAAGTAATAATAATTTGTATTATTTACTCCGACATCCAGTGTAAAATATATATGTATTTATGTATGTATGTTTCTATGTGCGTACCTCTGATGGTCACTCCTTGTCGTGGGAGAGGGGCGTGCGTAATCCAATGACTTTGAGAACGATGCTGTCGGGAGTTCTAAACTCCTGGTAGGGGCACCCTTGACGGCAAGCTCGAAGAGAACCCAGACTAAGCGTGATCAACACCAAAACCCCAACGGTGGGACAAGCGGATGATGATTACAATAGATCTAAACGGTTGAAGAAGCGGATGGAGAGGGCTACGCATTATGGACATTCTATAGAAGGCGCCACACGAAATTATAACAGCGTCAGCGGCAGACTGTCGCAGTTTCATAACTGGTTTCTGCATGTCTCATTGCATATATGCTAGAAAAAAAGATCGTGTAATCAAGTGCATGGGTCACTTCCTGGCAAGATGTAGTCCATCTTAAACAAATTCACGCCATCGGCGCTTTCTTCTACTCTGATTTTCAACCAACTCTTGCAAAGCCAAACGGCAATAGGGAATGGATGACAGGAGCAGGTTTTGGTGAAACTGGAAACTTCTAGTCCTGAACCTGCGCGTTGGCGGGGAATTAAGTCAGTAACGCCATCATCATAAACGAATCGATCGGCAAAGAAGAAATTAAATTCTTGGTCTCGAGATAAAGCCGACAACGAAGACTAAAGATTTAGTAAGATGACCTGCCAACAGTTGTTATTCCAGATTGAAGGTGACGGATGTCACAGTTGTTTGAGCTCAACCTATTAAACACGGCTGCCACAGCTGAATAGTTTGCCGAGTGCAGTCTAAACGTGAAGACAATTTGAAAGCTCGCTCTGCAATAAAGCCCATCTCCCGCTAAAGGCAGTCCAGCACTTTCCCAAGCATGACTTGAGGTTTATTTTCTGACGACAACAATACAATCTGTCTCAAAAGGTAGTCCTTTCTTCTTGCTTTCCTTTACTAACTTGGTAAAAAGTTCCTTTAGTTTCCTTTCAAAATTTTCCCCTAAGACAATATCATCCGCGTATCTTGGTTACGCCTTTATCATATTTGTGGACATGACATTTATCGAACAAAAATCATTTGCATAATTTCTAAAGAATTGTCATTCCCACCCACTCATATCTTATTTTTTATAATTTGCGGCCAGCTTGCCTTAGTCTTCTCACAGGCAACATCCGCCTGATAGTTTATAGGGTTTTTATCAAGAAAACTAGCATTGGGAAAAATCGATAATTGTATACGTTTGAAGAATTCTCGAAGCTCTTTAACTCCGCCTTCTTTTTCATCATCGATCTAATTCTAATAATCTTTAATTCCAACCATCTTCTTCTTCTTCTTCTTCTTCTTCTTCTTCTTCTTCTTCTTCTTCTTCTTCGTGATTTCCTTCCTCCCCCATCATCTTCTAATCTTTTCACCTCAAATATCTTTTTTTAAATCTTTCCACATTTTTTTATTTTCTTCATCGTACTTCTTGTTCTCAGTCTACTTATCTTCTTCACCTTTTCTTTCTCCTTTTTTCTTCTCTCTCCTGCTCTCGTCCCTATCTCCCTCACTTTGTTTCATAAACCTTCTCTTTCTCTTTTGCCTTCTCCGTCTCCCTTTCATCATCATCATCATCATCTCCTCCTCCTTTTTTTCACACTGCTCCTCTATTTTGTCTTTTCTTTTTTTCCCAAACGCTTCTCTTTCCTATTCTTTTATCTCTTCCTTCCACTCACTGCTACTGTCTTTTATATTCTACTCTTATTTTGCTTGTCTTCTCATAACACACCTCCTTCTCCTCCTTCTCCTCCACCTCCTCTTCGTAGTTTTCTCTTCCTCCTTGTCAATATTCTTTTTTTTCTTTATTTCCCTTTTATATTATTATTCATCATCACCTCTTCACTCTTTTTCTCGTCTTTTCTTCACCTTTTTCTATAGATTTCCTATCCTTCTCATTTTCCATCCCCTCTGTGATAAAAAAAACAAAAAAAATCCTCCCCGTGTTGTTATTATTAATATATTTGTGGCTTTTCTGCTTGTTTAATTCAATCTTCTTCTTCTTGTTTGTTTATATATATATATATATATATATATATATATATATATATATCTTCTTTTTTCTTCCCCTTCTCTATATTATTATTATTATTATTATTATTATTACTATTCTTTTCTTGCCCCTTCTCTATATTCTTCTTCTTCTTCTTCTTCTTCTTCTTCTTCTTCTTCTTCTTCTTCTTCTCTATATTATTATTATTATTATTATTATTATTATTATTATTATTATTATTATTATTCTTTTCTTGACCCGTCTCTATATTCTTCTTCTTCTTCTTCTTCTTCTTCTTCTTCTTCTTCTTCTTCTTCTTCTTCTTCTTCTTCTCTATTATTATTATTATTATTCTTTTCTTGACCCGCCTCTATATTCTTCTTCTTCTTCTTCTTCTTCTTCTTCTTCTTCTTCTTCTTCTTCTTCTCTATATTATTATTATTATTATTCTTTTCTTGACCCGCCTCTATATTCTTCTTCTTCTTCTTCTTCTTCTTCTTCTTCTTCTTCTTCTTCTTCTTCTTCTTATATATTATTATTATTATTATTATTATTATTATTATTATTATTATTCTTTTCTTGACCCGTCTCTATATTCTTCTTCTTCTTCTTCTTCTTCTTGCCATCGCCAATACCACTTCCCCAAATTCTTCATTCTTTAAAATCTCTTTGTTCTTTCAATTTCTACTTCTTGATTTCTTTTATATTTATAATTTTGGTATTTCTTTGTCAAAATCTGAGATTTGTTTCTTTGAAAACACAAACATGGAAATCGGGAAATTTAATCTTCTTTGTTAATCCGATGTGAATCTGCTTTGATAAGTGACGAATTGTTTAATCTCATTTAATGGGAAATTCTGAGCGCTAGTAATGTCATCATGGAACAATTCCATGATGACATCAGGTCTTACTCAAGTGCATGATTGATCAGGTGACCTTTAAAAGTCATTAATTCACGTTTTTGTTATTTTTTTTTAACAAGGAACTATTGAAATATTTAAACAGAAACTTTTCTGATAAGAAGTTTCTAAGGGAAAAATATTAACAGGAAAGTTTTTAACAGGAAAAAAATTTAATAAGCAGTTTTTAAATACAAAGTCTTCTAAAGATATTTTTAATATGGTTTTTTAATATAGTTTTTTAATATGTTTTTTTTTAAATATGGTTTAATATGGTTTTTAATGGAAAATTAATGCAAAGTTTGTTTTAAATAGGAAGGTTAAATAAGAATTTTAATTAGAAAATATTTTATTTTAAATTTCTTTTTAAGAATAATTTATTTAAATAGGAATACATTTTTGAATAAATATTTTTAATAATAATAATAAAAATATAATATAATAAATTTTTTGATAATAATAATAAGTAATATTAGAAGGAAGGTTTTCAAAACAGTTTTTAATAATACGATTTTAAATAGTATATTTTTCAAATACGAATTGTGATTTATTTGTGAGAATTGATAGAATTTTTGAATTGGGAATTAGAAAGTTATTTAATAAGTCTTTTAAACTGCAACATTTTGAAAGAAATGTTTTAATAGGAAATGTTTTAATAGGAAATGTTTTAATAGCATGTTTTTAATAGGGATTCTTCAATAAGGAAATTTTGATAAAATAATTTTTTAAAGAAGAAAATTTTCATAGGAAGTATCTTAAACAGGGAGTATTTTTATAGGATGATTTCAAATAAGAATTTTTAATACGAAATTTAATATTTGGGAGATTTTAGTAATCAGTTCTGATAGAAAGATTTTAAGAATAATTTTGATATTGGATGTTTTTTTTAAACACGCATTTTTCAGAAATTTTAAATAGGAAATGTTTGTTTAATTATGCAAAACAAAAATGATCCCCCAATTAATATCCATTTGTTTGTTATTTAAATAGCAATGATTTACACGCAGGGTTGCCAAATTAGGTAACAAGTAGCGAATTGAGTTACTTTTGAAAGGCGAGTGAAAAAAATGCTTCGAATTTTCCTAAAGTTAGTAGAGCAAGTTAAACTCATTTTAATAGTAACCCTGAAAGGTGGATAGTCGCGTAATTCAAAATTTAGTAGAGCTGGGATTTCAAATGTTGCCCTATCTGGACAATCATAGAAGAAACAGATTCTGATATTTCTACTACGTCACCAAATAAGTCCACTATAAAGAGATGGCCTTGTACTAGACTAAGTTAAACTGAAATATTTAATGGCTTACATTGAAGACTACATGTGTTTCCCACCGGTGTCAATGATCGAAATTTGAACCCTGGTAAAAATCAAAGATTCGAATGTTGAATAATAAGAAATCCAGGCCGATCCTATTTGGAAAACTGGCGCTCACACTCTTCTTCTTACTCATTCTCTGTTTCTCTTCATCTAACTTTGTAACCTACAAAGATAAATTTAGCAGATGTGACGTCTGTGGACAGAAAAAAAAAACGTTTATAAAACTGTTAGTTATGGTGTTAGTGTTTTTTTTTTTTGTTGTTGAATTCAGCCATGAGTGGTTTTGCAATGATTGATCTGTGGAAGGTTCGTATGTCCAGTCACGAAATGTGTATCTTTCAGCCCAATGGGCTGAAAACCTGACCGTACGGACGAATAGATGGACAGAGAATGGACACTTGCCGGTTGGGGACAGGTGTACCTGATGGTGTTAACTTTCGGAGAAGAGACAGTACCTAAGGCAGGTGGGAGTGATTAGAGAATTCAAGATATAATAAGAAATTAGAGAGAGAGAGAGAGAGAGAGAGAGAGAGAGAGAGAGAGAGAGGAGAGTAAGAGGAGAGTAAGAGGAGAGAGGAGTAAGAGGAGAGAGAGAATAGTAAAAGGGAGAGCGAGAAAGAGAAAGGGTAAAAGAAACAGAAAAAGAGTAATGAAAAGAGAGTAAGTGGGAGAGTAAGAGAAAAGAAGAGAAAGAGATAGAGTGGGAGAGAGAAAGAAAGATTAAGAGAAGCGAGAGAGAATTGTAAAAGGGAGAGAGAGAAAGAGAGTAAGTGGGGGAGTAAGAGAGAGAGAGAGAGAGAGAGAGAGAGAGAGACGACGACACCGTGCATAGAGTAAAGAGAATGATTGAAAATTTTTCTGTGTCCCATGTCTCTCCACAACTTCGTATCCTTTGTAGCCTTTAGTAAAATTTGTCTTTTTTATATGTCTCCTAATTAATGTTCTGCCATCCATTTACAGAAGCTCGTTAGGTAGGTTAATGAGCTGTTTTGCCCTGTCCCTCTAGACTTTAATATGTCCTGTGGGTATCAAATTCTCCAAGCCTTCTTATCCTCATCATGTGCCCTATCAATTTCAACTTCTTTTCGGTTCGAAGTATAAAAATTTTTTTTGTGTCAAATGTTCAGTTCATGGTATTCTCATCATTCTTCTGTAGAATCACATTTCTGTTATCTCAAGGCTTTTCTACATTTGCGGCATAACAGTTCAGAACGTTTTTCTTTGATTCTAACGACATTTTTCCTGTTTCTTAATACTTTCTCATCTTTTGAATGCAACTTTGGATTTCGTTGGCCCATCTTCCCGTCTTCTGTTAAAACACTTCCTCCATATTTAAACTGATTTATTTGATTGATTTGGGTGTCTAATTCGTAGTTCACGTCTTGGCCTGTTATTCGATTTATTACAAATATTTTTCTTCTCCGTTTACACAACATATTTATCAGTTTCTTTACTTGATAAAAACTTATTTCATTTTTAATTAGACGCTTCCTTTTATTTTAAATAGTATTCATTTCGTCTACCGATCGGTTGAGTATACGGCTCGAAAAAACGTAATCAAAACATGTCCCCTCTTCAGGTCCATAGACGAAAGAAATATCTTTTAAAATAAAACGAAACGTTTACTCAAATACACCAATCCATTGAAAGTAATATTTGAAATATATATATATATATATATATATATATATATATATATATATATATATATATATAAAAGTGAATATTGAAGTCAACACTTAGAGGCGACAGTCTGTTTCATGCTGAATGCAATCGTCAGGCCTGACGATTACATCTAGCATGAAACACACTGTCACCTCTAACTTTTGAATTCAATATTCACTTTTATATTTACACACGCTCTATCTCTGATATTGAGCACTTTATCCCATAAATATAGCACACCTTAAGACTATATTTTTATATATATATATATGTATTGATCACTATATATATATATATATATATATATATATATATATATATATATATATATATATATATATATATATAAACTGTATGGTTCTGCCTTGACGAAAAAAGACAAAAACAAAAAAGCAAAAAAAAAAAACAAAAAAAAAACGAAGATTTTTGACCAATTTTCTAAAAAGAATAAAATGAAAAATACATAAAATAATTTGAAGATTGCTTTTAATACTGACCTTCAGTTTGACGATAAAAGTTTATTAATCGACACAACATGTCGGCTGTATTTAAAAATACTTTGCATAAAGGACATATGCTGCCTAAATACACAATACAGACACACACACACACACACACACACACACACACATATATATATATATATATATATATTTATATATATATGTATGTATAGTTTTAAGGAGTGTTATGTTTAAGAGATAGACCGTATTTAAATATGAAAGTGAACATTGAAGTCAACACTCAGAGGCGACAGGCAGTTTTCATGCTAGACGCAATCGTCAGGCAGCTATCAACCGATAAATCACCGATATGAATGCAAAAAGAAATATAATAATAATAATATTAATAATACATACATACATATATATATATATATATATATATATATATATATATATATTCCAATATGTGTGTGTGTGTGTGTGTTGTGGAGTTATACAATAGCCACAGTGACCAGAAATAATCATTTTCTCATCTTTTTTCATGTCATTATAGATTAAGCAATTCAAATCTATTTTGGAATTGGAACGCGGCTCTACGATTAACAATTCCGTGCCATTATCCATTATGCCACCCGAACATGCAAACTTACAGCACCTGGTATTCCTAAG